CTGTAATCCCAGCACTTTGGGAGCCCGAGGCAGTCGGATCACTTGAGGTCAGGAGTTGGAGACCAGCCTGGCCAACATAGCGAAACCCCGTCTCTACTAAAAATACAAAAATTAGCCAGGCATGGTGGTATGTACCTGTGATCCCAGCTACTCAGGAGCCTGAGGTGGGAGAATCGCTTGAACCCGTGAGGTGGAGATTGCAGGGAGCCGAGATCATGCCATTGCATTCCAGCCTGGGCGACAGAGTGAGACTCTATCTCAAAAAAAAAAAAAAAGTAAGTGAAAAATAAGAGGACACCCTGGGTCCCTCCCTCTCTCCCTCCCTCCCTACCTCTCCTTTCCTTCCTTCCTTCCTTCTTTCCTTCCTTCCTTCTTTCCTTCCTTCCTTCCTTCCTCCCTCCCTCCCTCCCTCCCTCCCTTCCTTCCTTCCTTCCTTCTTGCCTGCCTGCCTGCCTGCCTGCCTGCCTAAACTTTTCTCAATAGCCTCAAGGCTGCAGCTAAGACCTGCCCCTGGCCTCACTGACTTGGTGGCACAGATGTGCAAAGCACAGAAAGCAGAAATTCAAGTCAGGGCTGAGGACTGGGGATGTGTGGGGGGCTGCTGGGGGGCTGGGGGAGAGAGTGGCAGGGTGAGCTGGGGACGCTGGAAAATTCTTGTAGCTATGACTGATGACGGTGGCAGGTGCAAAGGGTGGCTTTTCGGAGGAGGCACATTTTGGCATGTGCTCCAGCACCAGGAGCAGGGGTGAGGTAGCAGATGGAGGAGAGGAGGTCATATGCCTGGGCAGGGGCTGGGTGGGACTGGCTGACAGCTGACCTCCCTCCTGTGCCCAGAGAGCCATGGCCTGCTCGGTGGCCAGCATGGGATGAAACCTTTGTGGTCCCAGCTTCTGATCACTGGAGGTAAGAACTAGTTTTTGAGAGATGGGAGCAACTGCTGAGACCCAGGGGCTGGGTCACGGCCCAGCGTCTGCTTTTGAGAGCTTCGCCATGGCCCGTGTGGAGCGGACAGCAACCCCCAGGGAGGGGGCTGGGTGTCCCAGCCTGTCTGCCAGCTTCTTGGCGCCACCTGTGTTGGGACACCTGGGTGGGTTCCAACCTGGATGGTCCTGGGTGAGAATCCCAGCCCTGCCACTCATGTGAGATGAGGGCTGAGCCTCTGCCCATCTCAGAACCTCAGTTTTGTCACCTGTACAATGGGATGGTCAGTTAGCAAGGAAACGCGTGTGTGTGCCCCGTGTAGTGCCGGGTGCACGGGAGGCACTCCCAGAATGTTTCAGAGGTGATTCTATTCAAGGACTTCCTGGGCCCCTTGGTCATGAGACTCTGAATTCCCAGCCTCTGACCTGAGTGCCACAGCCCCTAGAGGGTTCCTGGCCACTCCTGGGTCTGTGTGGACCTCACTGCTTAAAGCCTCCCGTGTGCACGGAGGCGCGACACCCCCAACTCAGGGGCAATCAGGTCTTTGGGGAATGATAGAATTAAGCCCGTGGAACGTGCATTTGCTCGCTGTGCAGCCGCAGCAATCTTGCTGCTGCAGGGCAGAGGACGTTCTGAAGTGAACGTCCCCTCGGCTCCCTCACCGGCCTCCCGTGCCAGCAGATGGTGTCTGATGTGGTGGCCGGCACTGGTGCCCCTTGCCCTCTGAGCAGCAGTACCATCGAAACCCACCTTCCCGGCAGCTCAGAATCACTGCGGTGGTTTCCAGTCACAGATGCCCTGGGCAGGGGCTGTGAGACTGCAGGGGAGACAGAGGTCTGGGCCCTACCACGTGGAGGCAGCATGCAGGAGGGGCCCATTCCTGCCCCCCGGCAATACAAGAAGCCTATGGGGGTGCCCAGGGGTCAGGGGCCTGAGAGCTGTGCTCGCTGAGAGCCAGCATGCTCACCCCCAGCTGCCAGAGGGAGTAGTTTCCAAAGACGGCCAGGCCCTGAGAGTGAGCTCCTGTCCTGAGATGGGCAACGGAATATTCCTGGGACACTGCAGAACTGTTACTAAGCCAGGCACAGATGGGGACCAGGCCCCTTGGCCCCTAAGACAGGGCTGGCCCATGGATAGAGCACGATGGCCCCGCCCTTGGGCACAAACCCGACAATTAAGTGAGATGGAGACACAGGCTTGGCTTGTCACCAAGAAGAAAGAGGCACAGAAGCAGCTACAGCGTTTCTTGCTTCCCTGTTTGGGTTGATGCTGGCTCAGCTACCAGAGCTGGCCACAGGAACAGAGGTCAAGACCCAGAGGGAGGGAGGGGTCGGGTCTGCTTTGTCCAGGGCTGGCTGGCCCCAGGAGGGCGCTGAAGCTGCTGCAGAAGCAAGTACCAGGTGGTCAGTGTAGCTCTGTGGCCAGCACCTGAAACTGGACCTGGGCTGGGAGCAGCCTGAGATGCGGGGCAGAGGACAGCAAGCTGGGAGTCTGAATAGCCCCTGTTCTGGAGGCAGTGCTGGGAGGTAGAGGCTGGAGGGGTGTCTGCTGAGACACAGGCTGGGACAGGCTGCTGGGTGTACTGTCCCTGGGGGGTGCAGGGTGGTGAGTCAGGAAGGCCCCAGGAGCTGGGTTGGGGCAGGAGTCAGTGAGCAGGGCAGGACCCTCATCTGGTGGGAGGGGAGGTCTCCAGCCTGGGATGGAGGGGTTCCCTGTACCAGCCCAGCGTTTCCGGTGCAGCAGCCACGTCATTATGGTTGGAATGTGACCCCATTAGCCCTGGGGTGGGGCTGTTTGACATCCCGAGGATTAATGATCAGAGAGAGGAGGGGCTGCACCGCTTCACAGCAGGTTGAGTTAATTATCAGCCTCCATTAGCACTTGACCTGTGGCCAACACCCACACGTGTCAACTCATTACTGCTAATTGCAGGGACTCAGTGACCTCTCCGAAATTCTGTCACCTCTGTCACGGCCCCTGCCCTGTGGAGGCCTGTGGAATGGGAAGTGGGGAGAGGAAGGAGAAGGGGGCGGAGTCAGCCAGAGCCTCTTGGCCAGGCCTGGAGTCACCCTGTCCTGCCACAGCTCTCATGGGTTTAGAGTGGGCCCTGGTCACGGGTTGAGAGCGAGCCCTGGGGCAGAGGGTTTGCAAGGGTCGGGGTGGGTGACTCTGCCGAGGGTGGTGTTCTGAGTGGGTCTCGTTCCCCAGTCTGCCCAGCCTGGCCCCACCCCAGCTCTGCTGCCCTGTTACTTTGTCCCCCTGTGTTCACCCTCCACTTCCTGCCGGGGACACTCCAAGGCCTGCCAAGGTTGGAGCAGGGGTGGGACTCAGCCATTCAACAAACGCTTCTGTGGTTATGCAGGGCTGGGCATCGGGGTGGGGGCCGACTGAGACCCTCCAAGCATCAGATTGTCCAACTGCTCAGTTTTCACTGGGACAAGTGCCTCACTGAGGGTGAAGGGGGCTTTGAGTGCCCATCACGGCAGCCCTGGACAGGTCCCGCCTCTCATAGCTGCCCCACTCTCTGGTGCTGCCTCGGTGGCAGATGGCGTTGTCCTAGAAAGGTGAGGCTGGAGCTGTCTCTTCCACCAGCGGTGGCCAAGGTCGCTTCCAGGGTCTTCCATGCAGGCCTCCAGGGTCACCCTGGGTGTGGCTGAGGGCATGCAGACCACACTGTGCTCCCCCCCACCCCCCATGCCCGTTGCTTGCCTGGCATGCTCCTCAGCTGTCCTGCCCCGCAGAAGCCGTGTGGTCTCCCCTGTGAGCAGAGTCGGGCTCCATGATCCTCCGGAGCAGCTCCAGGGACTCTCCCCAGGCAGTTTTAAGGGGGGCCCCGGGACCTGCCAGGTCCGCAGAAGTGGTCCTTGTAACTCTCCCTGGGGGCAGCCTCTCGTGCATTCTGGCAGGGGCAGCCCCTCCTCATCACAGGGACCCTGTGTGCCAGGCCCCAGCTGCGTTGCCGCTGAATTATGGATTTAATAGCAGAGAAGCCTTGCAGGCCGCCTGTGCTGGCTTGGGAAACCAGGGCCCAGCCGGGGCCTGTCACCGTCCTGGTGCCGCCCTGCTCCCTGTCGGCGCCACAGAGCAAGCGGAGAAGATTTATCTTCCCAGCTTTACGAGGTACTAACGGAGGAGGCTGAGAGGCAGGAGCTGAATAATTGATGGCCTTCTCTGGCTCAGAATCCGCTGAAAATGACAGGGCGCAAGGCAGAGGGGCCGAGAGTGCTGACCACAAAATGCTAAGAAGCCACTCCAGGGTGGTCACGGCCAGAAGGAGGACCCCCACTCAGGACGGGGTCACAGGCATTTGGGGTGAGTGTCAGAGACTCCTGCCCTGGGTCATTCCAGGGGGCCGGGATCCCCAGAAGCCAGGCCTAGAGGCCCACAGGGCTGGCTCACCCCCGCTTCCCTCTCACACGCCTGTCATCACCCGTGCTTCAGCCCAGCAACCCCATGGTTTGTTGGCCCTGTCCATAGCCCCCACTGCCCGCTGTGTGCTGGGTGTGGGCCTCCGAGCTCTGCTCTCAGCCTCCTTAGCCCCAGTAGAGCAGTGGAGGATGGGGGTTTAAAATGGAGTTCGATGTGGAAGTGGGTGGGCTATGGTGCCCCCTCAGCCCCTCCTTTCCTAACAGCCTCAGCCTCCCCCCAGGAGAATCCCCCACCTGCTGAGCACATCTGGCTTCTCCCCAACATTCTGTCTCCAGCCAGGAGATCTCTACCCAGTGAAAAACAGTGACACAGGAAAGGTTCCCTTGTCCCCGGTGCAGGGTGCAGGGTGTGCGGCGGGGGAGTGGCTGGCTTCTTCAGTGCCACGCTGCTCACACCTCTAGCGATGCATACAGACGGGCAGGCTGTGGGGCTCTGACCCCGCGGCAGTGTCTAGGGGTGAATGTTTACCCCTCTTGAAACCCCAGTGGGCATGTGTTACAGGGTGGTCTTTTAGTCTAGCGGCCTATAGGTGGCTGGTGATAGTCAGCTCAATTAGACCCCTGCCTCATAACAAGGACAGAGGGATTTCTGTATCCCAGGGTTTCTTGCCTGGGTGTACCGAAAAATTGGATCACACGTGGGCTTGGAGAATCAGTGCAAGGTTGTATTGAGTGGAAGGAGCTCTCAGCAGATGGCGGAGCCAGAAGGGAGATGGTTTTCCCTTGGAGTCAGGCAACATCCTCGGGATGTCCAGCAGCTTGTCTTCTTCCACCAATGTGCTCCTCTCGCCACCCAGTGGCTTCTGTTTCTGCCTTGCTAGGGTCCTGGGTTTTTATAGGCACAGGATGGAGGCATGGCAGGCCAGGGTAGTCTTGGGAAATGCAACATTTGGGCAGGAAATGCCTGTCCTCACCTAGGTTTGTGGGGGTGGAGCCCTAGCCAGGGACCACGCCTTCCTCTACGCAGCACTTCCCTTCCCTCCTTCTGTATCATTTAAAGGGACCACGCTTCTCCCTTCTCAGCACTCCCTTTCCATATCAACAAGAGGCCAGGGACCGGCTGGACCCCTAGGAGCCAGGTCCTACGGATAGGTGAGCCGGCACCCCAGGGCAAACACCTCCACTGGGAAAACCTGACTGCCCAGAGCTGGATTCTTTACTTGTAAAAGGGGCTATGAGTGACATAGGCTTGGCCTGCTGTACCTTGAGGAAGGGAGAGGCTAAAAATTCTGCCCTCCCTCCTAAAGCCAGCCAGGCTCTTTATGGTGGGGAAGGAAGGATTTGTTTGTTCGCACTCTTCTGAAATAAAAGTTTTCTATCCTCCCTCCTGGCTGGAGTTGGGAGGGCCCCATGGGTGGGCTATGTGATGTGGCACAGGGTACCCAGGGCAGGGCTGGGAAGGGTGGGGTGCAGGGGCCACCCACCAGGTGCCTGGGCTTACTGCACTGAGCAGACACGGGCTCTGGCCCCCCCTCACTGTCCCTTCCAGGCCCAGCCTGTGTTCAGGGCCCAGGACAGGGTCTGGCCAGCAGGCCCCGGGCCTCCAAAGCTTTCCCAGCCTCTGGAGTGTGTGTGATGATGAGTGTTCATGGAGCTTCCTGCATGCTGGGCCCTGGGCTTCTGAGAGGGCCACCGGGTGGAGACTGAGTCACAAGGTGGAGGGCCAGTCCCAGGGACTCCAGGTGACCTCGTGTCAGCACCACACCCTTCTCCCATGGGCAGTCCTGGGTGCCCCTTCCTGGCCTTGGGCCCAGTGGCTTGGGCCTGACCCCGTCCACTCCCTGTTGGTTGTCCCAGCAGCAGCAGGAGCCCACGCTGGAGAAGGTGTTATGGGGCAGGTGGAGGGCCCGGCTGGCTCAGATCATCCCCCAAGTTTCTTTTCAATTCACACTTGTTTAGTGCAGCTTTTCCTCCTCAAATCCCCCTCACACAGGCAGACACCCTCTTGGCCCAGGGTAATCTGCTGAGCCTTTGCTCAAATATAAGCAGCTTTGCTGCTTTCTAAACACAACTAATCCAATTTGGGATTTGGGGATTCGAGGTGGGCAGCACTGGGCCTCAGACGAGCCCCCATCACCCAGACCCATGCAGGAAGAGCCAGGCAGGGTGGGGCCCTGGGGCCACCTGGTGGGCTCGGGGCCAGCGCATCACAATGTCCCCATTCTTCACACTACGGGGCTTCCTGGTTGCAGAGTTGGGGGGACTCAGCTGGGAATGCTGGCCATAGAGGCAGAGAGTCCCCATCCCGCTGGGCCAGCCCTGACCTGGCTTCTCCAGGGCGGCCCAGTGTCCCCTTCTGCCCTTCCCCTGGCCCCCACCGTCCACGTCCCTCTACCTGCCCACCGTGGACAGCAACCAACACAGTGCAGTGTGGCCCTGCAGTGACACCAGCTGCAGAGAGGTCAGGCCCAGCATCCCCGGTCTCCTAAAGGGTCAGGAGGTCCTGGGAGCTGGGGGTGGGGCCAGGCTGTGGGGCCTCCATGCCCCGGGGGCCAGGGCAGACCCTCCTTAGCTGGCAACCACTGCAGACTCATCCCCTGGCCAGCACTGGGGGTCCTCCCTGCCCCTGCCCCATCCCCCTACCTTGCCTGCTGAGACACAGGGCTCCACGGGTCTCTCTCCTGGGGCCAGGCTGACTGTGGCCTGTGAGGGGCTGTCATTGTGTTGGGTTTTCCTGCCAGAGGCAGAAACCGCAAAATTACCTGGAACATACACGCCCCAAGTGACAGATTCAATTCAATTCCACAAATATTGACCTCGCGTCTAATCCACTCGTCTTCCAGTGCCAGCTCGTTCCTGAGGGGCCCAGCCTGGCAGCCACAGATCCTGTTTAATCCAAGCCCCACAATGTCACCAGCTCATGGCTTGGGAGATGGGCTCGTTCAGGCCCTGGCAGGTGGGGCCAGAGCTGGGCTCTGACCTCTGTACCCACATCTACCACCATGGAAAGTGTGGGAAGGGGGGTGGGGAGGCACGGCCAGTTGAGGGTCCAGGCCTGCCCCAGCCCACCAGACGCTCGCCCTGGCTGCCCTGATCTAGCAGCTAATCTGTGCGGGGCACTGTGGCTACATGGTGACTCCACACTGGGACATTTATCAGAAATGGAACTGATGGATTAAAGTGGAACCAAGCGAATTGATTTTTCTCCCTGGGCACTTAAATGCTGAACTTAATCAAGTGATCAATTCCGTGGGCAGGGTGGCTATGGGGACAAGGGTGGGGGACAAGGGGGTGGTGGCCATGGTGGGGACTGAAAGGTGGCTATGGGGACAGATGAGGTGAGCCAGGTGGCCCTGGGGTCGAGCTCCAGCCCAGCCTCTGACAAAGAGGCCCTGTGTGCAGAAGTCTGGGTGCGATGCCCTCCCCCCACTGACTGTGTGATACTTGCCAGTCCTGTGCCGGCTGAGCCTCGGTGGCTTTGATGTAACCCTGTGGGGGCTGGTGGCAGGGACTCATTCACTCATTCATTCATGCGTTTGACACACACTGCAGCAAAGGAAAGGTGAAGGCAGCCACAGGCTGGCCAGGGACGATTCAGATTTCAGAATGGAGCATGCCTGCCCCTCCTCTTGTGAGGTCCAGCCTTGGTGTGTGTGGATTCCCAGACACCCTCCAGATCCACCTGCCATTCTGCAGTGCCCCGCCCACCTGTCCACATACTCTGTTCTGTGGTTTGATCACTGTCCTTCTGCTCTGTGGCCAACTGGATGGCCCAAGCGGACTGAGTTGGGCAGGGTGATTCCTGTGGCTGGAGTGGCTGTGGTTGGAGGTCCCATGGGCAACTGAGGCAGCCTGGGTGGGCATGTCCCACTGGGACTTAAGCTCCTAGGTGGGCTGTCCAAAGTGGCCCTTATGTGGCTGGGGTGTGGTCTCCTTCCAGCCTGGCTGTGGTGGCTGGGTGGCGTTAGAAGGCACTGAAGGAAGGGCAGGTGAATTTGTGCTGGACGTGGTCTCAGTGTCATGGGCCCCGGGAGCCCATGACATCACTGGCCTCTTGGATTGTGGGGATTAACCCCGTCACTGGACACCCCCAACACACTCCCTCCAAAAGAAAGGTGTTGGCACAAGTGAAACCCCTTGAGTGATGGCTGGGATTTCAAGCTCCAGACTGGTCCCCACTAGGAAGCTTTGGGTCTGGCTGGTGGAGCAGGGTGCACCTGCTCCTCCGCGTCTCCCTGCATATGGCAGCCCTCCCAGCAGGGCTGATGTGGGGTGCAGTGAAGCAGCAAAGCCCCCCACCCCACCCAGAATAAACAAAGGCTTCAGACCTGACCCAGGGTGAGACAGGGCCCCTGTGGACCACCTACCCAAGTGGCCTGTGGCAGCCCCTCCCAGCTTTCGGTCGGGGTGGCCCAGGGAGGTGGCAGCCCCAACCCTTCCTGGCGATACCCTGATTGATCACAGAGAAACACTGAGCTGGGAGAGCCGGGGCACCCAGGGCTGGGCTCCCGGGGCAGCTCCCAGGAGCTGCAACTGGACCTGGCACTAGGAAGGAGCCGTCCACCGAGCACCGAGGCCAGGGCCCAGGACGATGCCAGGCACGAGCTGAGGCCTTGCTGGGCCGGCCGAATCTTCACACTCAAGACCCCAAGCCCCAGTCACTCCTGGCTCTGAGCTCTGGGTGTCTGCAGCCAGGTTTGGCAGGATGGCCCCACCCTGCCCTGACTGTGCCACTGACTGGCATGAAGAACTCTAAACTTCACTTACTCCCGCAAAGTAGACGTGGCCCAGGACTGTGTGGTGGATCCTGGTCTCCAGAGCCCTGCCAGGCTCCAGGGCAAGTGGGGAAGTCAGTCTTAGCTGCAGAGGAGCACCTGTCTGCACACCCCTTCCTGCCACGCTCCCTGCGGGGGTTCACCTGTCTGCACACCCCTTCCTGCCACGCTCCCTGCGGGGGTGCACCTGTCTGCACACCCCTTCCTGCCACGCTCCCTGCGGGGACCTCTGCCTGCTGTCGGTGGTCCGGCTTGCTGGATTGGGCAGCAGCTCCTACACTCAGAGCTCTGCCATCCCCAGCCCCAGGCCAGGTTCTCCCCACAGCCCGATAGGCCCTGACGTCCCCTGACAACCAGGAGTTGAAGACAGGCCTGGCCCCCAGGCTGCCCCACACCTGGCCGAGTCCATGGGGACCCCACCTGGCCATGGGGTCCCCACCTGGCCGAGTCCCATGTCCAGGCTCACTTCCTCTGTCTCTGCAGCGGTGGGCACCTGGGACCATCGTGGTGAGCACCATCATGGCCACATTCCCCCTTGCCCCTTGGCCCACACTTGGGGGCCTGGGTTCCCCAGGTGATGAGGGCAGCCTGCAGGGCCTGAGGTGGCCATGCCAGCCAAACTCCCCCTGCCCCACAACTGGGCCACCTCTTTATCTTCCTACAGCCCTTGGGAACCCAGCAGGCTCCTCCCCCTTGCTGCTTTGTGAGCGCCGGCAGTCCTGGGGTGCTGTCCTGGAGCTCCAAGACCTCCCTTCTGGAAGGCTGGGGCTTCCTGGTGGAAGATCCTGCTCACCTCAGCTGTGGTGTGGGCCTGGGCTTCAGCCTGGGGGTGGGGCAGCCCCCATGGGCAACTGCTTTAGACTGGACCCCATGTGCTGGGGTGGCCAGGGCTGTGCATGGCAGGTTCAGGGCACAGGGTGCAGGGAAGGATGTGAGGGTGTGGGAGGGCTTCAGTGGGAGGCCCTGATGCTGAGCAGACACAGTACGGCCTGGTAAACAAGGCTTGTGTGCTGGGCACTCATCAATCTCTGCCATTTGGTCCTGGCCAACAGCTGGTGGGCTCAGGCCTGGGCGGGGGCTGGGGTGGGAATGAGCTGCCTCAGGCTGGGATGTGGACACTGGAGGTGGCTTGTCCAGACAGCCCTTTCCCTGGACCCCTCGTGCCCATGGCTCTAGCTGAAAACACAGCTGCTCTTCTCTACAGGCTGGTCCTGGGGTGGGGAGGGTGTGGGAGCTGCCTAGTCCTTCCTTTCCCAAGGGGTCGGGTGCCCCTGGCTGAGGAGACCCTCAGGGCTGGGCCTTGGTGGTAGTCAGGGCCTCCTGGAAGTTGACCAGCTGAGCTCCAGCAAGTCCATGCCTCCTGGGACAGGGCCTGGCACCGATGAACCCTCAGCTGCCGTCATTCTCAAAGTCGAAGCAGGCTGGGTGCTGAAGGCACAGGGGGCCACAGGGACTGTGGCTGCAGCTCTCTCATTGTCACGGGGAGGGAATGACCTGCAGCCCCATCTTGTTCCCTTCTGTTAACAGTCTCTCTGCAAACATAGCCTGAGTGCCCATCCCCACCCCCACAGGGCTCTTACTGCACCTCCCCAGGAGACGTGGACTGTGGCTGGAATGTGCCACTCTCTTGCCCTCTTGCCAGGACCACTGTGCTAGCTGCTTTGGTGGCCTGGAGGCCTGCAGAGCTGCCCAAGAGGGGGCTCCATGTGCAGCTGTCACGCCATGCTGTGTCCCTGGGGAGGCCCACACAGCACTGCCCTTCTGTCTCACTCCTGGTGCCTGAGCCCCAACGATCAACCTTGACCCCGCTTTGCTAGCCCAGGGCCAGAGGGGCACGGGCGGGGGCTTTGGAGAGGAGGCTTCCTAGGCTGGTGCTGGGCCAGCCTGCCCAGCCCTGCCATGCTCGGCCCCCGCCCATCTGGGTGCTGGGCCTGGCCTGCTCCATGAAGCTTCTAAGAGTGAGGTGTTATCCAGGCCTTTGGAATCTTAGGGGGGATGATTTTGTATGGGGAGGGGCCTTCTCCCCTCATGCTCATGCTCACCCCTTGCATGTGGGTGAGCATGCAAGAGTGTGTGTACATGAGTGAGTATGTGTGTGTGGACATGCATGTTATGTGTATGTGCATGTGTGCATATGAGTGTGTGAGTGCATGTTTGATGAGCATGTATGTGTGGGCACACGTGTGTGTGTCAGCATTGCTGACTGCCATGGATATGCACATGGCTGAGTGTGGTAATGTGTGTGTGAGTGTACTGGCAGTCCAGATTTTACACCCACACGGCTTTGCCTCCCCAGGAATCCGTTTTAATAGCAGAGTGGGCTGGAAGGGCTGGCCAGGCCCAGAGGCAGTTTTCAGGCCGGGAGTCCCTGGCTCCTCATATGCGGTGACAGCCAAGGAGGCTGGGGCCATCAGAGTGCAGTCTTTGGACACACGGTGTTGATGGATCCGTCGTTACCAGCCTGGGAACTGGGCATGGGCTCCAGGGCTGGAGGACACCCCTTACCATTCCTGGCCCTGGTGAGCCTGGCCCTCTTCTTGCCCCGTGATAGCCTGTAGCCTCATGGGGAAAGGCATGTGGAGGTGGCACCGCACCCTTAGCTCCCACCCCTGCTTTGCCAATCCTGGATCCTGGTCTCCGCCCGCCAAAGTCCACCATTGGCCACAGCATGTGGGTGCTGTGCCGTGTCCTTGAAAACCTGAAGATGAGAACAGCTCAGTGGGTGGGGGCGTTTCACACATTCGACACATGCCCTCACGCCTGTGGGTGTGTGGCGGGCTGGTTTACAGTTACGTGAGGATTTCAGCCCCAAGGTGCAGAGCCTGCAGCTGAGCAGTGCCCAGGGAGGGCCGGGGAAGAAGGTCCCAGCCAGGAAAGTAGGGTGACTCTCATCAGTGGCTGCGGTGCCCAGGTGGGATGATCGGGGTCATGCCAGCCCGGTATGCCTGGGGGACCCACAGCCGAGGTCCTGCATGCACTTGGCTGGCACGTGTGGTTCTGAAGGCCCCCGGGGAGGCCTGGCACATGCAGTGTGTTTGGGGACCCTCTCTGCTGCCCAGACACCGTCACAGACCCCACACCCAACCTTGCTGTTTTTCCCCCAAGTGTCCCAGGGAGGGGAGCTGCTCTTTCCAACTCGGATAGCCCCCCTGCACTGCGCGGCTCGCCCACCTCCCTCACAGCTATTCCAGCATCTCTGGGCGGGTGCGGGAAGCCGGATGCAGCCGGTACCGTTGCTGTTTTTGGAAAAGAGAGGTTCAAGGCAGGGAGGGCCCACCCTATGTTCCAGCAGGGTTGTCTGGCTGGGGGGGTCTGCACCTCGCCCCTGCACCCCCGGGTTCCTGGCTCCCCACCCCCGTGCACGAAGCCCTTCTTGCCTAGCAGGCCTGGGGGCCCCCGGCCGCCGCGCGCCCTGCCGCG